GGGGTGTGTGGAGGTGGTGTGGGGTGTGTGGAGGTGGTGTGGGTGGTGTGGGGTGTGTGGAGGTGTGTGGAGGTGATGTGGGGCTGTGTGGGGTGTGTGGAGGTGCTGTGGGGTGTGTGGAGGTGGTGTGGGGTGTGTGGAGGTGCTGTGGGGTGTGTGGGGTGTGTGGAGGTGATGTGGGGCTGTGTGGGGTGTGTGGAGGTGGTGTGGGGTGTATGGAGGTGGTGTGGGGTGTGTGGAGGTGGTGTGGGGTGTGTGGAGGTGCTGTGGGGGGTGTGGAGGTGGGGTGGGGGCTGTGTGGAGGTGGTGTGGGGTGTGTGGAGGTGATGTGGGGCTGTGTGGGGTGTGTGGAGGTGGGGTGGGGGGTGTGGAGGTGCTGTGGGGGTGGGGGTTGGGGGGTATGTGGGGGTGGGTAGATGCCCCGCTCCCACAGCCTGGGCTGCCACTGGCTCCACAGGTCCCTGGGGCCCCCAGATGCAGAGGTGAGCTCTGCCCGTGCTCGGCTCTGGACGTGGCGCACCCCACGCGGGCAGTGCCGCCCGGGGTGGCTGGCGGTGAGGGTGGGGACCCCGCACCAGCTGCACACAGCGTCAGCTGCGCTAGCCCCTCACGCGCCGCGTACCCTGCGCGCCGCTCCGCACGGCTGCCGGGGTGGGGGGCGGGGGTCCCGCTGTCGCTTGAGGGCGAACCCTAGCTCATTTCCACACACAGAAACAAGAGAAGGAATGGTACAGCACTGTGCCCTTCAGCCTGATACGTGGAATATATTAATCTGAGAAAATCTCTGTCGCTAAGTCCAATTTCCGTCGAGGGGAAGCATTTCCACGTTTGTCCAGAGGCCGTAAAGCTGCCGGGTCCCGCCGTGGATCCTGTTTCCAGGCTGGCTGGTGACACCTGCAGAGGCTGAGCAACAGGGGACACCGGGCCGGAAGTCTGGTTGTCACGGCAACGGAGCATTAACCAGCACCGTGACCTGCCGGGGGTGGGGGTCGCCGCGAGGGCATGCGGCTGTAGAGGTCACTTCCTGTCTCCGCAGTGCCCGAGGACTCCCTTAAATACGTATTAACAACTTGCTAAAGGTTTCGGGATCGGAAGCATGTAATTGCTATAATTATATTTAAAGCGTGAAGCCTTTAGCCAGCTCTTCCAGAAACATCCATACACTAGGAAGTGCTTTCCCAGCTGGGTGCCGGTGTCCCGAGCCTGTAACCCTAGCTACCCGGGAAGCTGCGAGTTGGAAAGATTTCTGACTCCAGGCCAGCCCAGGCAGAAAGTTGGAGCGTCACTATCTGGAGAAACTGGGGGTGGGGTCAGGTGAGGCTCGAGGCGCGGCACAAGTGGTAGAGGGCCAGCCTGCGAGCAAAGGCCCTGAGTTCAAAGCCCAGCACTGCAGAAAAGCACATGAGTGCCCGTTTCCTGCCCATCTGCTTTGGGTTCTGACCCCTGTGGCTCACTCTCCCTTCGGTCGGCCGGGCTAGGCTGTTACCTCGTGGGCTGCCACCCGCCGGTCGGCTGACCTCACAGAGACTGTTCGGACGACGTGGCCAGGGAGGGGCCTGCAGTGCTGGAGACTCGGTGGCACTTGAGGGGTGAGTCTGCTGCGGGCTAGTGGCCAGTGGGGGGCGTCCGCGGCAAGCACCGCGGGCTGTGGTGCGGAGGGCTCCGGCTGGGGCAGAGCCGCTGTGCGCTCTGGGCCTGGCAGCTGGGGTCATCCCCGCGGGCCTGGCGGTGGTGGTCACCGTCCACCGCGGCTGGGGGCTGGCCCTCCGTGATGCCGCAGCCCGTGCTGACCCCATTCTGCATGCCCATGGTGTTTTTTTTAGGCCCACAGCCCTTCCCTTCTGCTAGCAATAGTGCAGAACACAATTTTGGTGTGTTATTTCTTAACTTCTCAACCTAAAATATAACCTGCAAAAATTAAACTTTTAAAAGCTCCTGGCTCCCTCCAGGGCCATCATTACAGGCCCCTGGGGTGACGGCGGGCGGGCGGCTCCGCACGGAGTGACAGCCAGCCGGGGGGCCCAGGCCCCTCCGCCCCGATGTTAACGGCAGCGCTAATGGAGTTCCTGTATCTCACGTGGATGGTGGCTGTCACTTTTGAAGGATCCATCTGTGCTGCACTTAATTACTCTTTCTAAGATGCTGAAATCGTTTTCCACAAAGCTCCTGAGACCCGGCGACGGTTTTCTTTTGAGAGTAGCCATCGGGGACCTGGGCTCTGGTGTTGGCGTGGTTTTCCTCTGCGTAGAGGGGCCTGGTCTCTGACACGGCTACTCTCACTCTGAATGGCACTTGTGTGTGTCACCTGCAGTCTGTCCAATGGGTCCAGGCAGCTTACCCAAGACTGAGCGCATCCGTGAAGTCCAGCCCTGTGGCTGCAGCCCCACGCCCGGCACGTGTGCCCGCCTTTGGTGACTTGGTTTCTCACTTCCAGTGGCGTTCTTCCCACTTCTTGGTTTGCACGTAGAAGAACGATGAAGGTCCCCCCCCCTTTTGGCATTGGTTTTCCTGAGGGCAGGTGCCTCAGAGCTGCCAGGAGGGAGGGTCCAGGGCTCAGGCAGGGCCACCCACACGGGGCTGGCTGCGGCTAGCTGTGCCCCCTCGGGCCTGAACCGGCTCCTTACCCCACGCCTCAGCCCTCCCCCGCCCCCCCCCCAGGGCCTGTGGCAGAGCGGAAGCCAGGCACCTCCGCCCTCCAGACAAGGCCCCGGCTGTGGGCACAGGCGGTGAGCCGTGCAGAACGTCCCAGCTGACAGAAGGCCCTGGTGCAGCTCACGGCGCTGGGCCCTGCAGAAGGCGGGACTCACGAGGACCCCGTGTGCTGGACACCCACCAGCATTGGCCCCTGGCAGCACGCTGGTTATTTTTTCTGGGGATGCATCCTCTGCCATGCTGACGTAGACAGTGGCCTCCCTGTGTGCTCCGAGCGGCGGCTGGGGCTCCTCAGACCCCAGCCAGTGGAGACACGGGCGGTGGGGCGGCCACCCTTCCCTCCCAGCACCCCAGGACGGGGGGGTGGCTCCCGCTCCACTCCAGGCTGGAGGCCACGGAGACAGAGTCCACCGTAAAGACCCTGGGCCCCCAGGTCCTGGCTCAGCAGCTGTCCCAGGGAGACAAGAATGTTCTGTTCACTCCAGAAGGCGCAGGATGGCCACGCAGCCCCAGCCACACATCCCCCGACTCCAGAGACAGCTTGTCTCCCCTCTCACACGCCCTGGTGCCCGCGGTGGCTCTGAGCGCCGCCACAGCGGATCCATTCCCTCGACGGGGGGCTGGGTCGCGCCCACCGCGCACGCGCTAAGTTCTGCTCCTGCCTCTGTGCAGTGCCGTGGCAGCAGGCCTAGGCGCTGGGGGGCGCGGCCCCCGCCAGCCTCGCGGCCCAGGCGTTTGGGGCGGTGCGCAGGGTCTCGGGCGGCCTCTCCTTCACGGTGGATGGTGTGAGTCTGGGAGGAAGTTCGGGGGTCGGCCATCCATGTCCAGCGCGCTGCTGCCGGCACCTGCCACGGGCCGCCATCCCCTCACGCACCACGGGGCTCTGCGGGGCACTGCCAGACCTCGGCAGGAACTCAGCCCACACGTGTCTTTGCTTGTTTGTACTTATTCATTTGTCGGTCTGTGGCCTTGTGAATGTCCATTTCATATTTAGTTATAATTTAGTACTAAACAGCTCTTATTTCATAAGTTCTTTTTTTTGGGGGGGGGCTGGTTATGGGGCCTGAACTCTGGGCCTGGGCGCTGTCCCTCAGCTCTTCAGCTCAAGGTTAGCACTCTACCACTGGAGCCCCGGTGCCACTTCCAGTCCTTTTTGTGTATGTAGCACTGAGGCATGGAACCCAGGGCTTCACACACACTAGGGCAGCTCTCTCCCGCTGAGCCCCGGCACAGCCCCAGCTCTTTGTTTCAGAAGTGGCAGGGATCACAGGAGGGACTCCCCTCTCCCACTTCCCCTCGCGGGCATCCTCTCTCCCTCCTGCCTGTCCCTATACGCACACACACGTGTAGGCGCTGTCTGCCCACTGAGAGCCCAGCAGCGGTGTCAGCAGTGTCCTGGGGGCTTAGGAAAGGAGGTCACTTGGATCCAGGGATCCCTAGCTCTGATTCTCCTTCCTGGCTGGGCCAGAAGACTCCATTTCCCCACCCCACCCCCGTGCGGCCAATAGAGACTCGTGGGTGTGGTGCCGTGTCCGCACTGACGCGCTTCCCTAGGGAAGCAAACCTGATGCACAGTGGGCTCCCCCGTGGCGGCGCTGGCTCAGGCCTCTAATCCTAGCTACTCAGGAGGAGTGTGCTTCAAGGCCAGCCTCCTCGTCTCAGCTAGCGAGGTGCGGTGGCCGGAAGGAAGGAGTGTCAACAGGACCACCCGGACGGGCAGGCCAAAAGTGAGACGATTCAAAGCTGGAGGCCAGAAGGGTTTGGGCTTGCAGCTGTGGCTCTTCTGTAGGTCACCTTTTTACTAGTACAATATTTTTTTTGGGGGGGGGTAACATAGCGGGTGGCTCTTGCCTGTAATCCTACATGCTCAGGAAGCTGAGATCTGAGGATTGAGATTCCACGTCCCCGTGAGACTCTTACGTCCACTTAACTACCCAGAAACCAGAAGTGGTGCTGTGCTCAAGTGGTAGAGCAAAAGAGGCCTTGAGTTCAAGCCCCACAACCAACAGAAAAGGGGGAGTTATGATGCGGCTCCAGTGGTAGAGCACCTGCCTAGGAAGCTCAAGCCCGGTTCAAACACTCGTACTGCCAAAGCACAAAGCCCACTTCCCACAACCCCACGGGCAGCCCGGGTCCAGGGTGGGCGCAGACGCGGTGCTGTGCCGCTTCCTTCCCAGGGCGGCGCCCTCGGTGCTGCGGTCCCGGGGCGCCCGCAGCCGGCCACTGGGGACCCCGGGCTGCTGCGCTCACGTCCTGGGGCGCCCACATGGTGGACAGCTGTGGGGGCCGCCGTGGCCTGCTCCTGCCGGCCTCACCGTCCCCTCCCTCCCCTTCCCGTCTCGCTGTAGGGTGGGAGTCTCAGCTGCTGGAGACCGGGTTCCTGGGGATCTTCCTGTGCCCCCTCTGGACCCTGTCCCGACTGCCCAAGTCCACCCCGCCATCCCGCATCGTGCTCTGGGGCTTCCGGTGGCTGATTTTCAGGATCATGCTGGGAGCGGTAAGTGGAACTTCCTCGTGACGCTCTCGGGAAGTGACATTCCCAGAACACCCCGGGTGGCCTGCCGGCCTAGGGTGGCCGGCCCGGCGCTCCTTGCTGACCAGGCTGCCTGTCCGGCCTCACCGGGCCTGCTGTGTTTTCTGCCTCACGGTGCCCACTCTGAACGCTGCACTCAGCCACTCCAGGGCCACAGCCAAGGGGCTGTCTCTCGGGGAGTCGGCAGGGCCACTTGAGGGTGATGAAGGTAATGCCCATTGAGGCAGACCCTGGAGAAGCTGCCGTGTGGAGAAGTCAGCCGGCGGCTCCGCCCGCGGCTCTGATGCCAAGAGTTGAAGGTACCGTGATGCCCGGGAGAGATGGCAAGTCACGATTAGCACGTTCTGAAGCCTTCTATGACATTTTGATTGACTGTTAATGCCAGCTGGATATAAATTACCAGGTGCACTAAAAGGTGCAATTACGTGACAGTCTTGGGTGGCATCGTCGCAGCTTCGGTGGGAGGCGAGAGGCGTGGGGACGAGGGCCCGGCTGCGGCCCTGGCCCTGGCCTCCTCTGCGCGGGCTGGACCCGCGCCCGCCACCGCCCAGAGCCGCTCACCACCGTCTTGGGGTTTGTGGTCTGATCATGTTTGTGTTCGGCACTGGTGGGTCCCCTGGGGCTGAGTCAGAGGCCCCCACTTGGGAGGACACGGGGCTGGAGAACCGCCGCCCAGCAGGGGCTGCACTGATGTCCCTTCTGGGTGGACGGGGGCTTGTGTCCTCCGCGTGACTGGGGCGGAGGCGAGGCCGGTCCTCTGCCCCCTGCTCCCTGTCCCCCGTCCTCCAGCAAGGGGGCGTGGCCTCCGCCTGTGCGCCTGCCTCCCTGCTGGCCCTCCTTCTCTGTGTCAGCGCCGCCTCCCGAGGGGTGGAGCTCCCAGATCACCAGGCCGTTCTGTCTGCGGTCACTGACGGGCAGTTCCCATGTCCTGTGGAGGAGGCCGGGCTCTGCCAGGCACACGGGCCCCCGCAGGAGCTCACGGGATGGAAGGCGGAGCCCCAGGCTCTGGGGCCCGGGTGGCCCCGCGCCTGGCTCCGTCTCCCCGGACACTGGGCTTCTGCTGCTCCGCCCGCACCTGTGTCCCTCAGCTTAAGGCCCTGAGACTGGCTGTGCAGGGCACGGCGGCCTGCAGGGCTCCTGTGCTCGCCCCGTCCCTGCCCGCACCTCTGCCTGCACTCGGGCCACTCGCCGGGCTGCCTCCAGTGTTCTGCGGAGGTGCCTCTGGAGGCGGCAGCGTGCTGGGCACGGGGAGCAAGGCCAGCAGGCTTCCAGCGCGCCCTGCAGACACACTCTGCCCCTTTCCTCGGCCTTGGCTCGTTCCGCACGGAGCAAATGCGAAGTGGAGTTTGTGTTCTTCGTCCCACAGTGCCTCTAGCGCCTGTCAGTAGAGCCGGGCTTGTGGGCAGGGGATGGATTTTCCATGTGTGCTCTGGAGCCGGGCCTGCCCTTGATTACTTTGTCCTGATGAACTGTGCTGCGTGGCGGGTTAACACTCTCTGTCGCCGAGATTCTGGGAATTGAGCCAGTGTCATTATTGCTGAGAATTCTCAGACCTGGGGCATACCCGAGGGAGACCCCTGCTTTCGGTGTGGCCCCCGCTTCTTCCTGCGCCGCCTTCCCCAGCCCTCCGCCTCCTGTCTGCAGGATGCGTGCAGAGCCTTCCCTGGGCCTGGGCCCCTGCTCTGCTGGGCGCCCCGGCTGGAACCATGAATATCCAGAGAGGGCATCTGGCAGCGGCAAGGTGACACGTCGTGCAGATGTCGCCCACGGTGGTCAGGAGAGGGAAGGAGGCCTGGCCGGCGGGCTCCTGGGAGCCCCGAGGGGTTCTGCTCTGGGTGGGCAGCGCAGCCTGTGGAGCCTGCTGCCCCACGCTCCCCTCTTGCCCCAACACTCACGCTGCCGTTTCTCCTAGTGTAGTTTTTCTTCTTGCTTTGCGTGTCAGTGGTGAGTCGAATGCTGCTAGGTGAGCAATCTCGGTGCGCGCACGCTTGTGGTGGCCGCAGCCGGTCATCGCTGTGTCACACAGCAGGCTCCACGTGGAGGAGGGGAGGAACAGAATAGGAGAGGCCTGGGTTGCTCCCAGTCTGCGGGCCACAGAGAGCAGTGGCGAGCATCTTGCACACAGTTGCAGGTTCCCCCCTGCTGGCTGGCGGGACGTGACTGGTGCACATCTGGCTACCGCACCCCGCAGGTGGGTGCACAGACCATGTGCAGACTGCCCCAGCCCGTGACCCGGAGAAAAGCTGCATTTGAAATGAAGAGCAAGCGCATAGGAGCAGTAGCTCTGGGTGGGAATGTGGGGCAGCCAGGCCCCTCCGCCAGGTGCAGGGCTGGGCCCCCAGAGCCCCTGGTCTGCCGCTGAGTCAGATGATGCCGCGCCTCGCCGGGGCTGTCACGGACGCGTTCGGGCCACAGATGTGACAGCTGAGAGTCCCTGAGAAAACACAGACACCAGAACTGAGACGAAAGGAAACAGGAAATCTGGACAGCTCCGTATCTGCCAAAGAAATTGAACTTGAAATAGAACACCACTCTAGAAAGAAAGCGTGGCCCCGGTGGCTCAGTGGTGAACTGGGAGCTGTGGAGGGCTGGTCAGGGCAGCCCCGCGCAGACGTGGGATGGCGGCGGAGGAGAGACAGTGGGACCTCAGTACCCCACGCGAACAAAGATGCCAACACTTAAAACCTGGCAGATCAAATCCGGCAACATAAAACGCGGTTCATCTTGGGAATGCAAGGTTGGATGAACTGTTGAAAATCATTTCTTGTCTTGCACTGTAGCGACCAAGATAAAGGTGAAGAGTTTTATCTCAACAGATTAAAAAAAAAATGAGGAGAATGCCTGGATCGTGGTTTGAGCCAGCCTAGGCGAAAAAAACAGAGGCCCCATCTCAACCCATGTCTGGTGTGGTAGTGTGCACCTGCCGTCCCAGCTACTGGGAGGATTACGGTTCCAGGCCGGCAGTCATTGTGAAGCCACTGGACGACGCTGGGCATCACGAAGGCATGTGCCTGTCCCGCTCGGAGTGCTTGGAGGATCCTAGGCAGACCCCAGTCCATGCCCGTGCCGGGGCAGACGGCTGCGCTGATCAGCGCTCACCAGTGTGCTCAGTGGGCTGAGACCAAGCGGTCCCAGGTCCAGGCCGGCCCGGGCGAGGGTTCAGCAGAAAAACCTGCTCGTCCATAGTGGGAAGCATAACTGGGTCTGAGATCCCACAGGCAGACAAGGCCCGGCCTCAGATGGTGTGCGGAGCTGGTTTGCAGAGGAACGAGGGCCCCCGTGAAGTGTGTGTGTCCAGCCGCAGACCCACGTGCGTGGCAAGCACCAAGCCAGGTGCTGGGGGACGCCGGTATACGGCCAGAAGCCAGAAGGATGGCTTCTGAGGCACCTAGGGGTGGTCCGGGCCGTGGTGGATTATAGTTATGGATACTGAATTTTGTCATGAAGCCGGGCGCCAGTGCCTTGCACCTGTCATCCTAGCTACTCAGGAGGCTGAGATCTGAGGATTGCGGTTCAAAGCCAGCCTGGGCAAGGAAAGTCCTGAGTCTCTTTATCTCTAAGAAACCATCAGAAAACCAGAAATGGTGCTGTGGCTCAAAGTAGAGTACTTGCCTTGAGCAAGAAAAGCTCAAGGACAGAGCCCAGACCCTTGAGTTCAACAACAACAAAGTCATGAGAACACTAGGAAAGTGAGTCGGCAGGCCACAGACTAAACCTCCAAGTGTGCTGATCCAAGGCCAGAGCCACGACCAACCACGATACTTGAATAACAGACCAGCGTGGCTCGCGGAAGGCACAGGATTCACCTGAGATACCAGGAAAGTCTGCTCAGCACCTACCAAACACTGGCTGTGCCACAGCCACCGCGGCCAGGCCAGCACCCGGGCGGGGAGGGCTCCTCCCCAGGCCCGCAGCCCCTCGGAGGCCAGGGCCAGGGACCGGGTCCAGCCCGCCAGGGGCGTCGGCTCGCAGGGACGCAGCTCAGAGCCACGATGCCACGCGGCAGGGGAGCGTGGAATCGAGGAGCCAGGGGTCCCGGCCCCTTTTCTGCGCCGCGCAGCCGCTCGGGGCACGCAGGACAGCGTAGATGCGAGTTTTGTCTCCAGTGGGTCGTAGCACAGCCCTCTCACGTCAGCGTGGCCGGGCCACAGGGCGGAGCCACAGCCACCGTGCCTCCGCTGCCCCTGCATCTGACGCAGGGCCGGGTGGGAAGGCACGCCCCGCGTGGGGGTGGGCAGGGCCGGGTGGGAAGGCACGCCCCGCGTGGGGGTGGGCAGGGCCGGGTGGGAGGGCCTCCCGTGGGGGGCTCCCGTGAGGGCACACTGGTCCTTGTCACCAGCAGACTGTAAGAGGCTCCTGGTCCCTGGTCCTCGGGTGCGCAGGGCCTCCCGCAGCACGCACCAGACCATTTTATTAGATCAAAACTGTTCTTTGTTGTATTTTTTTTTATTGTAAAGGTACTATACAGAGGGTTACAGTTACATGAGTGAGGTAATGAGTACACTTCCTATTGAGCATTGTTACCCCCTCCATTGTTTTCCCCCTACCATCCCC